CTTGATAAAGGATATGACAATGCACTGTTCGTTATACAAGAACTGGAATTTGCAGCGTGGATTGATACTTACACTTGGGCTGTGTTTACAGAGTTCACTGTATTGGATGTACAGAGTCGACTGGTAACTGTGGCAACTTTGACAGCTGAAATAGCACCGACAGGAGATCTGCAAACAGCTGTGGAGCTCATTACGCTAACTTTATACCCCGCGGAAGGAGATTTCACAGTGATGTTTGTAATCATATTGGCTGTTATCGCACTCGTTATGATGTACTCTGAGACTAAAAAGCTAGTACAAGAAGGGCATAGTTACGTTTTCAACATCTTGTTGATGTTTTCGCAATTGTCGCATCCTGGGCTGCAGTCGGTGTTTATTTTAACCATGCAATGGTTCTGCAAAACGTAATAATAAACACCAATATTTTCTACACTGTAAGGAACGGAGCATACATGGAGGAATACCTTCACTTGGCGTTTGCAGTTTTAGTCTTCTTTGCATCACTCAAACTTCTGTGCGTGTTATCCACAGTGAATAACTTTGCCTTACTTCTTGTAGTTTGTGAATCTACGATCAAGCAAGTTTTGAAATCTCTGTTATTGTTCCTTATTATGTTTGTCACGTTCGTACATGTGGGACGCTTTCTTTACGGGGACAAAGAAAGCGAGCTGCATAGCTTGAAGAGAACCGTCCAGACGCTACTGTATTACCCGCTCAGCAGGAGCCCGTCAGATCAATCCAAAAGACAGTACTTGGACTATGCCATATTTTTAAACTTTGTATTTAGTATTTCTTAGCATCACCATCTACCTGGTGTTTTATGTGATCACGCTGCATGCCTTCACAGCATCAAGGCAGATAAATATTCTAAAAGATTTCGCCAATACGGGCAAGATGTCGGCGATATGTAAAGAATACATCAAGCGCATGCTGTGGAAAGGTGGAGTCGAGAAGATGAGAAAACTTACCAATATGAAAGCTAGAAGAATGCGATATAGAAGAAATCGATTGATAATGCCACCTCCTTTACCACAACTTCAGAGATTAGAAAAGCATGTTGATAACATGCTGAAGCAAACAGTGAATGAAAATAAAGTATTATTCCGTGACAGAAGGAAACTACTAGATGAGATCACCAGACAAAGAAAATAAGAATTAACACTGTCAAATTTTGTCCAGTTTTTGAAGAAATCTTTTTACATAGTCTTGTTAAAAGACAGCATTTTTGTTGTTGTTTTTTTGTCCCAAGCTACATGTAAATATAAAAATAACTCAAAGCTTTGATCGCTTGCCAAAGATCTTGGTGCAACACTTTTTTAAATTTACGTGCTTTTCTGTAACTTTCTTGTTAATTTTGGACCAAATGGAAATCAATTTTCTATTTTAAAAAAAAAGAGGTCCTGATTCGATTTTTTGAAGAAATATGGAAGCAATTATGCAGGATTATTTTGTAAAATGTAATACAAGGGAACATGCGCTGTGATTTGCCAAATTTATATTTTTGAATTCTGCCAAAATGATTTTTAAGGGACCGGTAGTAATGAATACACAAGGGATTACATATTAGAATGTACTTTTGTGAACAGTACCTAGACAAATGAAAGATTGTAATTTCTTTCTATTTGAATGTATTCTTATACCCTGCAAGAGACATTTTTGGGTCAGGAAGACTGAACATTAAATTTGGGAAAATTCAAGGCATTGAAGAAGTCAGTGACTTGTACAATTCATCCTCACCAATGTCCTCTAATTTTCAAATTACCAAAATTGATAATGTTGAAAATTAAACAACTTGCAGTGGATTTAAAGTTATGTGATTACCGGTACTATGGTTGTTCCATTAGTAGCACATGTAACGATATAAATGACAGGTATATTTATGGTCAAAACGCAATATACAGTAACTGCAATTGTTGGTTTATGTGCTCTTCTAATTCAGAAAATATGGCAGTCAGTATTCTGTGCAAAAGTATGTCGGTCAGTATTTTACGACAAAAACTAGTATAAATTTATATTTACTAGTATTCAATGATGAATAAGAAATTAGGTGTAAATTTGTCATTGCAACTTGAATGCTGGCAATGATGTTCTTTTTATAATTGAAAAATTACTAGAAACTAATTTTTTTCAGAGCCTAAGGCCTACTAAACACTGCATTCTGTTTTAAAAACAGATATGTACATGTATATCTTTGTTACTCATCCATTCCAGACAAAAGTATGCACATATTCAAAACTTGCATTATATTAGGAAACTTACAGTACAAGTGAGAGGAAAGGGCATTATTGAGCTGTACATTTAATATTTGTAGTTACAGATACATTTCAAATTTCTGAAATATATAATCATGTTTTTTGGAGTTCTGATGATCTATTTTTACATTTTGAAGAAATAAAATTTGACCAATAATTTGTTACTTTTCTGTGTTATTGTATAATATTATTGAGAGTCACATACTGCCCCAGTCTGATTTGGGGATCCAGAGTCAAAATGAAATGAAGTTGTTTGACTACATGGAAGCACAAAATGAAGACAGCAGAAGTGAGCGGGAGTCAATATGGCATCGCCCTCATTGCATCGGTCACGTGGCTTGACATGAAGGAAAATCTGAGGTTGGGGCTTCCCAGAGCTAGATTTCTCTCTCGTCATTGGCTGAATCGCAGATTAATGACTACAGTTCAAAATAGTCATTTTGACTGACCTGAGTCTATGGTGGGTAATTGAACGTAGTGAATGATAGCATGTGGCTGTAGGAATGAAAGCGCAAACTAAAATGCTGTGCCTCCAATTTCTTTAGTTTTTACACTCTGAATTTCATTTTATCAAACTACAGAATTATTAAAATCGTTCAAACTTGGTTCGATAAACATAATGGATCCTTGATGCACATCATTTTTTACCCAGATTTGATTGAAAATGGCCAACTATCTAATGAATGCCGATTTTGGAACTAACGTGACGGAACTGATCATGCTCGAATTTTACACATGCATCATGTATCGTCAGTTTCAGAATCTGATTCAAGATGCTGATCGTCAGTTTTGTGCGAGAAATGCCTTGGAAAGAATCTCACAAATAAACTGGCTTCACTTTGTATCATGTCTGTCACACAAGTGTAAATAATTATTTGGCACTAATGTTGACGGTCACTTAAAACTGAACAGG